GAGCTGACCAATTCAGAAACCAGTTGCTCTCTGAACCTACTTTAAGTTACCACCATTCATCCCACAAGCATAAATCTCAGTCTTTGAAGCATTTAGCCTTAGTCCAGACAGCTCATAAAATTTTTCTAGGACACTTACCACCCCCATCACTGAATCCATAGAACCATAACATAACAGTAACAAGTTATCAGCAAAGCATAGATGAGTAAGTGAAATCCTTTTGCGCCTGAGATTATATTTGAAGATTCCATTCCTAGCTGCAACATCCAACAAGCAGGAGAGCACATTCATGACCAAAAAAAAAGAGGTAAGGAGACAGAGGGTCTCCTTGCCTAACACCGCTTGCACCTTTGAAATTTCCCACTAGACTACCATTCAAAGCTATTGAGTAACTAGGGGTTGTTACACAAGCTTTAATCCAATCACAGAATCTAGCAGGCAGACCCATAGCTCCAAGAACATTAAGCATAAAGTCCCAATTAATCGAATCAAATACTTTCTGCAGATCAATCTTAATTGCACACCTAGGAGAATAGTTCTTCCTAGAGTATCCTCTAACAATCTCTTGTGCTAATAAAGTGTTATCAATGATACTCTTGCCCTTGACAAAATCTGACTGACTAGCTGAGATCATATCAAGGAAATATTGGGCTAACCTAGTGACCAAGATCCTATTGATAGTCTTATAAACAACAGAACAATAGGAAATAGACCTAAATTCATTTGTCATACAAGCATTCAAAGATTTTGGCACTAGGAAAATGGTGGTTGCATTAAAGGCTGGTAAGAGGTAAGAAGTCTGAAAAAAATACCTCACATCACTTAGGAAGTCCTTGCTTACAATCCCCCAAATAATCTTGAAAAACCAGGATGTATATCTATCAAGCCCTGAGCTTTTGTCTTTCCCTTGTCTGAATAAGGCTTCCTTGATTTCATTGTCTGAAATCTCACCAATCAGGATTCTATCAACACCAGCAGGTAAGGAATAATTCAAAAGATCCCTTAACCACTAAGGCTGACATCCCTTAACCAAAGGGTCAGCTGCACTAATGAGTTTGCTATAAAACTCCAACATCACTGTAGCCATTCCTTCAAAAGTCTCAAGAATCTGCCCATCTTCATTCTTGATAACTCTGATAGTATTCATCTTCTTGTGAGATTCAACTTTTTGGTGAAAGAACTTAGTATTTAAATCCTCTTCCTGCAGCCAATGAATCTTAGCTCTCTGCCTATAAAAATCCAGTTCTATAATTTCAAGGCCAACCAAATCTACCTGAATTCTTCTTTCCTCCTCAATTCCAAGTTGATTAGAACTAGCTAGGTTAGATAACTGAATATGCTCAAGCTCAGCCCTCTTAGCAACTACCCTAGCAGAAATATCAGAGTAATACCTCTTGTTTAGCTCCTTTAAGACCAACTTCAATCTCTTCATTTTGCTAAAAAACACCTGCATAACATTACCCCCACTGTAATCCAACCAAGAACCCTTCACACTGGTTAAAAAATTCTCATTTGCAGTCCAGCAGTTGAAGAACTTGAAAGGCTTAGGCTTGGGTACCCTTCTGTGTCCAAAGAATTCCAGGATAGTGGTATGATACTCTTGGGGATTTATATTTCACAAATGAATCTGGAAATTCCAGTAACCACTGAGAGTTAATCATCATTATATCCAGTTTCCTAGCCAGATAGGACCCCTCTTGCTTGTTTGACCATGTGAACAAAGAACCCACAAAAGGATGGTCCTACACCTCCAAGTCCTCAATGCATCCTTGAAACTCTTCCATGTCAAGTGAGACATGCAAGCCCAAAGTAGAATAATCTGAGCTCTCCTGAGCATTAGCAATGACATTGAAGTCACCAAGGGGTTGAGCCAATCTCAATCTCCAAATTCCTTAAATGCTCCCAAAGATCTCTCCTATGCTGGCTATTATTGCTCCCATATGATGTAGTTATCACTACTCTATGGCAAGCCATATCCCCTATAATGGAAAAAACTTGGTCACAACCCCTTAGCACAAAGAAAGACAAGTTCCTCTTCCATAAAATCCAGAGTCTGCCACCATCAGTAAACTCATAATTTTGCAGCATTATGCCATTCATCTGCAATAACAGTAATCACCTTAGACAAATTAATACTTCTAATTCTAGTCTCTATAAAACAGGCCACATCTACTCCTAGGTTCTCTAATCTCTTTAACACTTTTCCTTGCTTAAGGGCGTTGTTAATACCCCTTACATTCCAAAAACAAAAGATCATAAAGCAAGGTTAGGAGGGCCTCCACTTCTAGCAACCTTATTAACCATATCTTTCTTCTTGGCTTTGATCTCATTAAGGAGCATAGTAACACCCAAAGTAGTTTCTCTAGGCTTTCTAATGTCATCATTTTCTCCCCCTCTAACCAGTTGTTCCAATTTACTAGTATAGCCAGAATTATCCTTATTCCTCCCCTTAGATTTCTTCTTATGCAACATAGAGTCTTGCAGAGAGGGAAACTCTCCACCATGTTGATTATGGGTAAGTATGACTTTAGGTATAGCCTCATCATTATCCACCCTCACCACAACACCAGCATTAGCAGTCTGCTCTGCCTCCTTATCATCCTCATCAACCTTAACTGGAGCTGTAATTTCTTGAGAATTGTCCTCACTGTACTCTTGCAAGGCTCTCACAGTTATCTCCACAGTAGCACCAACCTACAAATCTGAGCCCTTAGTACCTCCATCTCTTACATTAATTTCAACTGCAGTAAGACAATCATAGGAAATAGCTTGGTTCGAGTCAGATGCCTCATTGCCAGCCAGCTTCTTCTCCTTACCATTAATCACAGAGGGATCAATAACAGTTTTCCTTCTCCAGATTTGAGTTTCCTTGTTCTTCAAAGGAGCATTATGATTCTCAGCACACGCATTAAGATGATGCCCAAAGATCTTACAGTGGGAGCAAACCTTAGGAAGCCAAGGCACATACACACATATCTTCACAACATAACCATCACTTAAATCCACATGAATAATCTCAGGAATCACTGCGTCTATCCCTATTTCCACAAAGACCTTAGCGTATTCGAGTCTCTCCTTGGATGCAGTAATGTAGTCCATGTACAAAGGGTGACCCACAACACTCGCAATATAACTGAGGCCATTCCTAGAGTAGAGCTCCATAGGTATATTATACAATTGTACCCAAATCGGAATGCTCTTAAGATCTAGGTCAAGCTTCTGCAAGTTTGGCTCCCACTTCCTCAACAACAACTGAGAATTTACTCTTCTTCTCTTTAGTTTTTAATAAAAAAATTTCTTTTTTTTTCAAAGTTCTTTTTTGTTTTATTTTTATTGTCAAATATGCTAAGTATGATTTTTTTATGCTTAGCTAATTTACTTTAAAGCCGAAGGCTAAAGCAATGGGTCAATTCCAAACGTGAGAATTTTAAGACACTTAAATCGCTTCGAATATCTCTCTCTGTTTTCTGGGCTTATTTTTAAATCAAAACAATTTTCAAAACCAAAAATTGACATTGGTCTGAATGTTGTTATGGTTAACGTGGGAGGAATGACCAGCTTATTGAAGCACATTCGACTTTCTGGGAACACACTTAGCAAAATTGTTTGCTAAGAGGAAACTAAGATTGGAATCAGTTATTGTTGAAATAACATAATCCGAGTCGGCAACTTTTCGAGCCTCAACGTTTTTAGATCTACAACATTGTTGTTTCTTAGATCAATTCACAATTTTATATTAAAGATTGCACTTGGGTATTCAATATACAAAGCATAATAATAAGGATTTGCCCTTGTAGACAAGTAACCGGCGTGAATCCTGAAGTAAAGATCTATTTCGATTATCCGAGGAAACTGAGTCAAAGCTGAAAGCCTGAGGCTACTTTTCACAATAAGTCTTCTTTTCAAACTCTAATTACTATTTTATTCTATTTATTATTATTTTTATTTTTATTTATCTAATTTTCAAACATTCTTTCAAAATCCCCTATTTTATCTTATTCTTATCTCACCTTTATATTTATATTTATATTTATATTTATTTTTAATCTTGAATTTCATCCCTATCCAAACTGTAATGTTCAAAAACAAAAAGACAATTAAATCAGAAATTGCATAGTCTCTGTGGGATCATCCTTTATTTTTCACTTGCTATATTTTCTTTATATTTCTTTTGGGATTAAGGAATTATTTTTATGCTAAAACGACGCATGTAAATTTTAATAATTTATTACACTCAAAAGGATGTAAGACATTCTTAAGTTTATGAAAATAATAATTGATTATCAATGTCTTAACACATTTTTTTGGCACATTCTTAGACTTTTTTTATCACTTACTATGATCAAGGACATTTTGATCATTTCACTCACTCAAGAATATATCTATTTTTTCCGATTAATCCGTGATAAGTACAAGATAATATCAGTTCAAAGATAAATTTCAACCTTTCGACATTAAACGCTCATACCTTTGACATCTATGGTGCTCGAACCCGGATCCTCAAGGAATAACAATAATTCCGTTATCACGAATGTCACTTGGTCTGTGTAAGAATATATCGATCTTTAACCAAGACTTAACACATAATCATTCATATCCTCTAACATTCTCTTATGATCTTATGTTTTCCTATTCATTTATGATCATTATTTATTTGTATTCATAATTACTAATTTAATTAAAAAATTATTAACACGAATCAAACAATTTCAATAATTAAAAAATAATTATTGTTTTTAGAGATTTTAAATTTAAATACTAAAAATATTAGAGATGTGAGAATTCAATATTCATTTATCTATTTATCTCATGGATGAGAGTTATTTTATACCAATATTAACAGACTTCATAATTTGAATAAAATTCTCAATTGCTGGACTACACATCATGGTTTCTTGGAAATGGTTTGAAAATCTTGGATTCAAAATGTTTTAGGAGACCCTATGAGGATTTTATTCTCCAAATTAAAATGACTCAAAGTAAGTCTTAAACGTTTCAACATGGAAAACTTCAGCAGCATCTCGGATCGGGTAAAAGCAAAGAGAATTGAGTTAGAGCAACAACAAATTCTATCTCTAAAAGGAGAAGATACTATTGAAAATGAACTTGCAATTCAAGATGAGTTGAAGCTATTGGAAGAAGCGGAAAGTTTATTCCTTAAGCAAAAGGCTAAAATCCAGTGGATAAAGAATGGGGACAAAAATGCTAATTTTTTTCACTCCATGGTGGCCTTAAAAAACAAGAGGGATACCATTAGAGTTCTTATGGACAATAGAGGAAATAGGCTTGATTCCTTTGACTCTATGGCAAAAGAAGTGATTGATTTCTATTCAAATCTTATTGGAACTGTCGACTCCTCGGTTAAAGCTATTGACCCTAGCTTCATCAAAACTATTCTTAACTTCAATCTGTCCTATGAAGCTTCTTCTTGCCTTGTTAAAGAAATTACTGCAGAAGAAATTAAAGATGCCATCTTCGACCAAGGAAATGATAAAGCTCCCGGTCCGGACAAATATTCCCCGCTTTTCTTCAAGAAAGCTTGGAATATTATCGGTAAGGATGTTATTGTTGCGGTTAAGCACTTCTTTTTGAATGCATCTTTAATTCCAGCTTTTAATTCTACTGTTATTGCTCTAGCTCTTAAGGTTCCAAATCCAAGTTCTGTTAAAGACTTTCGGCCCATTTCATGATGTTCAGTTATTTACAAATCCATTGTTAAGATTCTTGTAAAAAGATTGAATGAGGTTCTTCCTGATATCCTTTCTTTAAATCAGACAGCGTTCATCAGAGGTAGAAACATTATGGATAATACTTTGCTTGCCCAAGAGATGGTTAAAGGTTATATTAGGAATTCCATTTCACCTAGGTGCACTCTGAAAATTGATCTTCATAAAGCATTTGATTCCATTCATTGGGATTTTATTTAAGCTATTCTTAAAGCTTTAAATCTTCCTCAAAAGTTCATCGATTGGACTGAAGCATGTTTTACTCAAGCAAGGTATTCCATATCTTTCAATGGCACTTTGATCGGTTATTTTAAAGGAGCTCGTCGTCTTAGGCAGGGGGATCCTCTTTCCCCTTATCTCTTTATCCTTGTTATTAATGTCTTATCCAGATTACTCAACTTGGCTGCTAGTAAGGGTTTATTTGGTTATCATCCTAAATGTAAGAAGATAGGACTCACTCACTTATCCTTTGCAGACGACCTCTTGATTTTCTGCAAAGGTAATCCTGATTTTGTTGCTGGTGTTCTTAGTGTCTTGGATCATTTTAAAGATATCTCGGGCCTCAAGATCAATTCTTCTAAATGTGAGATATTTCATGATGGAATTTCTTCACGTTCAATTGACGCCATCAAACAGATAACTTACTTCAAAATTGGACGACTTCCAGTCAGATATCTCGGAATTCCTCTGGTCACCCGCAAGTTGAATGAGAAAGATTGCGAAGCACTTATTGTTAAAATTAAGCAAAGACTCCATCATTGGTTTGCTAGGAACCTCAGTTATGCTGGCAGATTCGAGTTGATTAAATCTGTTATTTCAGTATCAGCAACTATTGGTGCAGACAACTTATTTTGCCTGCTTCAATTCTTAAAAAAGTGGAGCAGCTTTGTATAAGATTTTTTTGGAAAGGATCAGACAAACCGGCTGCTGGAGCTAGAGTGTGCTGGGATAAAATCTGTCTTCCTAAATCAGAAGGTGGTCTCGGATTGAAGAATCTAAAAAATTGGAATAGAGCTTGTATTGTGAATTTCATAAAGAAAATATTGGCTGGTGAAGGTTCTCTATGGGTGGCTTGGGTTAATAGATATGTCATTAAAGAGCAAAATTTTTGGCAGATTAATCCTGGCCCCAACGTTAGCTGGAGTACCAGAAGATTATTTAATCTGAGATCAGAAGCAATGTCTCTCAATTCTGATACATGCACGGTGAAGGAAATTTATGAAGATATTAGAACAAAAGGGCAGAAAATACCTTGGCATAAACTTATCTGGTTCCCACTGCATATCCCGAAGCATAGCTTTATCGTTTGGATGGCTCTTCAAAACAGATTGCCTACTAGAGACCGTCTACAAATCATGGGAATTAACACAGACTCTTTATGCGTTAATTGAAGAAACTCTCAAGAGTCTAGAAATCATTTATTCTCTGAGTGTTCTATGGTTGTCTGCTTATGGAATTCAGTTCTGAATCAGTGTGGATTAAATTCTTCAAATTTGTCATGGGATATTATAGTTAACAGAGCAAGCTCATTATGGAAAGGAAAATCTCTTATCACCTTCATTTTAAAGATAGCGTGGTCTACTTTCATTTATTTCTTATGGAAGGAAAGAAATCATAGAATTTTCCAAGCTCGATCTAGATCAGTTGAACAATTGTTTTCTGAAATTTCTGATGTTGTTCAATTCTGCCTTAGGGGGAAAAGCTTCAATTGGCTTGATAGCACTAATCTTTTTCTTTGTAATGCTTGGGGTTTATAGTTTATTTACAAATTATTGTTTTGTCTAGGTTGTGCACTGATTTATATAGGCTGTGCATATTTGTTTGGTTGATTGTTTTGTAGCATAACTTTACTAAATTTGGGTAATAATATCTTAATTATCCAAAAAAAAAATCTAAAAAGAGAGTTAAAAGAGCAGCGCCTAAAATGATGACGTGATCTTAACGTCAGCAACCGTCTCCTATGGGCTCCTCATAAGTGGCTGCTCTGCTGCCTCTGCTCCATCTCCATCTCCATCTCCATCTCCATCTCCATCTCTTTACCATTAAAAAGAACAAAACCCCAAATCAAGCCAACCGGAGCCCCAGACCACGCGCCCACTCGCTATGTACGGACGTCCAGCATTCCAGCATTCCAGCGTATTTCCTCCAAGTTTCTCAGCGAGTTACTGTCATCTCCCGACGTCATGTCGCCGCCGCTAAACTTCCCGTTAAGTCCGATATCTCAGTTCACAGTATCCAACTCGTTCGACTCGGTTGGCGAGGTGCTTCAGAGTGGCATCAGTAGCAGCAGCGGTAGTCACAACTCCCGGACTTCGTTAGGGAGTTGCTGCACACCACAGAGACCGAGTTTCATCAGAAGCGTCAGTAGTCATTCCCTTAAAAATAATAAGCTTCATTGTGGTTTTGCTTCAAAACTTTACGACTTGATCGACTCTGATTCTGGTCCGGTGAGGAGAGTATTCAGCACCGGAGATCTGCACCAGGTTAGTTATATGAATGAGTTCAGCACTTTAGTTGATAATTATTTATTGGGAAAAAATGCAGAGCTTTGATATTATTATTTATGATGGGGTGCGGGTAAAGCAGTGTGGTAGGAGGGCAGAGAGTCCATTGTCAAATGAGAGTAATGCCATCATTGAAGAAATGAGCAGAGCCTGCCGCTACAGTCCCCAGGAAAAGAAACAGAGGATTCAAAGATATCGATTTAAAAGAAATCTCCGCAACTTCAACAAGAAGATTAAGGTCATCTTAAATCTTTATTATTTTCTCCTTAATTTTAATTCCAAAAAGATTATTTGTTGCATAAAATGATATGTTCTTCCCCCTTGTGTGCTGCTTTTTGGTGTTTGTTATACTGATCATGCGCCGATGAATTTGTATAATTATGACAGTATGCATGTAGGAAAACATTAGCAGACAGCAGGCCACGCATCCGAGGACGCTTCATTAGAAATAAAGAAATTCAAAACAATCCTCAAGTTGAAGATGAGATGAACTGGATTAGCTTCCTAGATATCCACTCCCAGCAGTTGCTTTTTAATCCTTTATGTTACAGATTTTAGATTCTTTTGCTCCTCTTCTTTACAATTTGATGCAATGTGATTGGTCACATATTCATACGAGAGTATGGAAGACTGCAAGGTTTTATTTTTAAAAAGTTAGCTTTATATAAATGGCAGACAAGAAGACTTGCAGAAAAAGGGAATATTTTTGAGTATTTTGTTTTCTTGAACAACAGCTTTTTATCATATCCAAGTAATCCATACTTTGCCCCGACCAATTACATAACTGGTATATTTCTCATGGATTTAAATAGCATTCGAGGTCGTGTTTTATTTATCGCGGTTACGGACAAAACAGATGCTATCGTGGTTACAGCGGGTGTCACGGTCGTAAATTTTTTTATATTTCACACAATTTATCTTAAAACATAATAATTTCACACAACTTTCTTTAAGACACAATTAAATATAATTATAATAAAAGTGTGAAATTCAAAATAAATTTAAACACAAAATAACTAAATTAAACATAACTAAACAACTCAACATGATAGAATTTTCTGTCTGTTATTTGAATCTCTGATATTTCTTTCATGACGAATCTCATTTCAAATTTCTTAGCTCATCTGATATTTAACAAGAACAAAAATAAAGGAAGTTAAATTTTAATTTAATTGATATTGGAGCACATGAAAGGATCTCCTTAATCATATTTTAACAGTGGCAGTGAAGTTTTGATGAAGATATATCTGTAATTGCAGTTATAGGATCTGATTCGTATGTTTCAGCGTTATTTCCTCTATAATCTATGTTAACTATGTAATTTCCACTTTAAGCCAAAAGAAATTTAAACTGTTTTATCATATGTATAAATTTTAAATTAATTAAATCAAAATTTATTCAAATTTAACTTAAAAAATTCAAAATTAATTTGATGATTTTAAAATTAAATGACCAATCGATAGGTGTTTATATATAAGCATGATTTGTAATATCAAAGCATAAATGAATGAACTAAATGTTGTCCAATATGCTTGTGAACATGTTAAAAATTTAATTGTTCAAAAAAAATTAAGATGTAATAAAACTTAATTTAACGACGGTGTTTATATAATATTTTTAGAGTTATTTGTATCACATGCCCTCAAAGTATTACCATCATTTTAAATTAATCTCAAAACTTTTATATGTTTCAATTTCATCCCTAAACTATGTCTATCATTCTAAATGAATCCTCAAACTTTTGAACATTTCAATTTCATCACCAAACTATGACATTCATTCTAAATTGGTCCCTAAATTTTTTAAACATTCCAATTTCATCCCAAACTATATATATACTAATCTTATCCCTTATTAATAAAATCATTAAACCAAGATATGTTATTATATGTTTGAAAAGAAACAAAATTTAGGTTAAATTATGGTTGAAATCAATTACATATTTGGATAAATTTGGGTATGAAATTGGAATATTAAAAAATTTAGGGACTAATTTATAAAGTGGGTCATATTTTACGGATAAAATTAGAGTGTTCAAATGCTTTGTAACACCCTGAATTTCGTGTTAGTAGTCTCAGGTTAACCCAAGTGGATTTAGATGAATCCATTAGCATAGTAGAGGAGCTTGGTCCAAGTGAGCCTTGGGTAGGGCATGGGTTTGGCCCAACATGTAAAGAAAAAGGGTGTTTTTAATTTGGGAACAAACTCATGAGGATTAAGAGAACAATTTCACCACTCAAGATTTCAAAATCTTAAATCTTTTATGGTGATGATATCACCTTATTCCCTTCTCTTTTTCCCCACTCTTCATTGTCTTACTCATTTTCCTTCATCTCTTCATTCTCTCTCTCCAATAACCTAACAAAGGTTAGAACTTGATAACCAGCAACCCCAATGCATTTTAGTGAAGTGAGAGAAGTGGGAAAGACCTCTCAAGATAAAGAGAATGAGAAGCTTATCTTGGATTGAGCCTTGAGAACTTCCAACAGCTTAGGAAACAAAGATAACTCACTTTAAACTCAACTTTACCACATGCAAGTCATTTAAATGTGTTTGGTATGTTACATGAAATAAGTACCATTTTCATGGTTGAGATTGAAATTCAGTGTTTCTAGCATGTTTACATACTCTTTATGACCCCTTTAATAATTCACAAGGTTTTAAAAACAGTTGGGACCCTCAGTAGGGATTTTAAAATGGAAATGTTGCATTTTTCGTGCCCAAACATGGCATTTTTGAGTGAGGGTATTAGTACTAAAAGAACAATACCGATATTGTTCTTAAAATGAAGAGTAAATTCATCAAGCAGTATTGATACCTATTTAAAAGTATCAATATTGCAAGGTTGGTCTTAATACTCATTAGGTGGTATCGATACCGAGAACACAAATCTGATTCTAGTATACCATTTTGGTATCGATACTCATGGGAGTATCGATACCTAGGGTAGAGTATCGATACTCCCCATAAGAATGAAATGTTTAGTGAATTCATATAGTATATTATAATTTTTAGTGAGTCATAGAGCTCGTAAGCTCAATATTCGAAATGTGTTTCCGTATACAAGTTAGGAGACCGTTCGTGGGGAGTAATCTTAACCAGGTATTCCAATGCAGTAGACCAGAGCAACCAAGTATTTCAAAGTATGTCTTAAGTCACTTTTAGAGGGCATGTACTATTATGGACCCTTGTATATCGATCATAACTCTTTATTTAAACTCAGCGTTGTATATTTTGAATATTTTAAGTGTTCCCCGTATTTGTAAAACTTAAATACTATGATTTTATTATTTACAATATGAATGCATTTTTATCATATGTTTATAATTAGTATGTTTAAAAGAAAATTTTTGGGTTAGCCAATCTGGTGGTCCCTTATGACATTGTGATCTAGTGATCTTTGGGTCGGACTGGATTAGGGTGTTACATTTAGTGGTATCAAAGCATCATGTATAGTCAGTTTTAGGACCCACGAGTTAGATTCAGTCATTTTCTGTAAATTTACATGCCTCTAGAGTGTCAGGTGTACTTTTAAGACTGAAATGATGATAATAATCCATGTCTTTCTGATTTCATATAACAGACGATCCAACCCACAATCAAGATGGTAGGGTAGAGAGTCTTGCTTCCATAGCAGTGGTTTCAAGCGATGAGTTCATTATAGACTCCAACCAGTAGAAAAACCTAGTAAATTCAGGACTTGAGGATGTGACCTTGTTCAGGGACCTCACCTTGGTACTTAGGAAGATCGCTAGGTCCTTACAAAGTACTTTGGTTGCACCACTTCCCCCACTTGTACCCTTACCTCAATCAGTGGCAGTTTCCCTAGAGTCCCTTGTGGAGAGGCTCTGTAGATACAGGACGATCATGTTCTTTGGTATAGGGGATGATGATCCCATAGCAGTCGACCAGTAGCTCAGAGAGACTCTCTGCACCCTCAGACAATTGTATCTCACCCCTAAGGGTAGAATTAAGTGCTTCAATTCCTTGCTCAAGGGTCTAGATTGATGGAAGACCATCAAGCTAGCACTAGAGCCAAAGAGGCCAACATGGGAGATACTCATTTCTGAGTTCAGACAGAAGTACATTGGTAAGTCTCACACCGATGATCTAAGAGAGCAATTTCTATATTTGGTCTAGGGTGACCAGACAATGATGGAGTATGAGTGTGAGTTCCTCCGACTGAGTAGGTATACGTCTGAGTTAATCTCCACAGAGGAGCATCATTACTGTAGGTTTAAAGAGGGCCTACACCTCGATATCCTATCACACCTAGCAGTCGACCATTCCCAAGTTTTTGCTGAGTTATCTCACAAGGCTAATGCTGTTGAGAGGGTTTTGAGCAGGAGGGCTAAACAGTCCAGCGTGATCGAGGGGTAGTACATGAGGGTTATCGAGACAGTTAGATCATCGCAAAATCTGACCAAGAAGCCCAGAGCTAGCTAGGGTTCATGGAGACTCCAAACCGTACAGTTGAGGAAGATTATGAAGAGTTCAAATCGAGGAGGTAGATCTGACTCTAGGAGGAGACCATTGACACTAGATTTAGGAGCTAGTGTCACTGGGTTGACCAAAGGCTTCACTCACCCTGTTTGTGATTAGTGTAAGAGGAGGCACCCTAGGACTTGATAATATGGATTAAGGGGTCGTTACAATTATAACGCCTTGGGTTACTTTGCCCGTGATTGTTGGAGAGTTCAAGGAGCAGCTCCTACGATCACTTAGAGGTCAGTCTCGTCTGTTCAGAGAAGCCGAGGGCCAGTAAGGGGTTGTAGTATGGTGTCTAGACAGTAGAGTAAAGTGGCATCTGAATCACTAGAGTATGGGTTATAGAGCCAATGGTAGCATCCATATAATATACGGTGAAACTCTGTGAGGAGTGCGACGTGGTAGACATGATCTCAAATACCATCACAGTATTTTCTATTCCTGCTACCGTATTGATAGACCCTAGTTCTACCCACTCCTACATAGGCTCTGACCTAGTTCAAGAAATAAGAATCTTAGCAGAAGACTTAGAGATAAGAGTTTGTGTATCAAATATTCTAGGTCTAGATGTCCTTGTAAATAAAGTTCATAAACGATGCCTAGTAGAAATCCAAGGATAAACCTTCTTACTGTAACTAATGGAGTTGTCCTTTTAAGAATTTGACATGATCCTAGGCCTAGATTGGTTGATTGAACACGATGCTAGTTTTAAATGCAAAGCCAGACAATTCAAGCTTAGGATAGATGATGATACCAAGCTAGTGATGACCAGTGAGAAATCAAGTCAATCAATGATAATGTCAGCCATAAAAGCCCAGTGGATGATCGACCGAGGTTGTAAGGCCATCTTGGCTCATGTACTAGAATCTAAGTTCCAACACTCATGAACATACAAGCAATTTTAGAACTCCTCGATGTATTCCTAAAGGAGTTGTCGGGCCTATCGCCCGATCGCTAGTTAAAGTTTGGCATTGAGGCGATACTAGGTTCAG